TAAAGTCCATTAGATTGTTTTTTGCTCATACAAGAGCTGACATTTTTCATGCCCATATTCAAAGCCAACTTGCTTGTACTGGCAAAAGTATATTTCATAAACCTGGTATACAAGTAACATCAAAGGTAAATCAGCACAAAGTATTTCTTCTAAACATGAGAGTGCATACCTCGAACAAGATTCCTGCACATGCATCACTCTTGTAAACATGACAGATATATTAATTATGCCATAGACAAGATGAGCTTCTGACACTTAATGCTATTTCTGTATGTTCTGAATATATTAGGATTATATAAAATGCAGCATCAACCACTCCATGCATAAAATTTGTATTTGTTGGACATTATTAATGGGAACACAAAGCCTCTCTCAGTATGTGTATGTACATGGTCCTTTAAACTATGGTTTGCACAGTAACTATCATTAATTTTAAAAGCCATCCAGTCATATTCCTGCACAAAGCTTTGAGAGTGTAAGAGTAAGCTCACATGTGCACAAGAATGATAAATGTATTCCTTTGCCTCACAGACACGATTTATATTCACCACTGCAGTGCCCATCATTTTTATGTAATGCAATGCATTGTAATGACTTCTAAGTAAATAAATACTTTACAATGAAATAAATCAGGGAACTTCAGGCAAGAGCTTGTTAGAATTTTTCAGTGAAACTTTTATTATTTGAGAGAGACCATTTATCAAAGGTTTTTGTGGGATTAGTAAGAGTGACACTTACTGGGAAAGGTTTCCGATCTCTAATATGGACATGCTAGAAATACAAAAAGAAATGCAGGCAACAGAAGAACTCGTAATTGCAGGTGGTCTTTTGATGTACTGAACTCTTAGGAGTCCTTCTTTCTCATGATATTTTTTTTCTGTGGGTGGTACTTTTCTTATATCTGCAATTAACTATTTATTAGTCCAAAGAGAAAGAAAAGCTATTTATTAGACATATCCTAGAGGGGTGGTCTCATCCTCTCAGTTAAAAATTTCTGAACATATACCCAATATATGTTTATTTATTTATAAAATATATATATTTACTTCTGTACTATTTTATTAATATATTATAAAACATACACAAAAATAGAAATTAAAAAGTACGAGCTAAACATTATTTTAGAGTTTATTTTATTTATTAATGGTACAAAAATCATAGAATTATACAACGGTCTGGGTTGGAAGGGACCTTAAAGATCATCTAGCTCCAACCTCCCTGCCATGGGCAGGGATGCCACCCACTAGACCAGGTTGCTCAAGGCCCCACCCAAACTGCCCTTGAACACAAGGCATCCACAGCCTCTCTGGGCAGCCTCAGAAGTGCTTCACCACCCTTTGAGTAAAGAAGTTCTTCCTAACATCTAACTTAAACCTGCCATCTTTCAGTTTAAAACCACTGCCTCTTGTCCTGTCACCATGTGTCCATATAAAAAGTCCCTCTCCCTCCTTTTCATAATCCCTCTTTAGGCACTAGAAGTCCTCAATGTAGTCTCCCTGAAGTCTTCTGTTCCCCAGGCTGAACAACCCCAGCCTCAGCCTGTCTTTGTAGGAGAGGTGCTCCATCCCTATGATCATTTTTGTAGCCTTCTGGACTTGTTCTAACAGGTCCTGTCTTTCTTGTGTTGAGGACTCCAGCCTTGGATGCAGCACTCCAAGTGAGGTCTCATAAGGGCAGAGTAGAGGGGCAGAATCACCTTCCTTGACCTGATGGCCACTCCTCTTTTGATGAAGCCCAGGGTGGCTTTCTGGGCTGTGAGCGCACACTGTTCGCTCATGTCCAACTTTTCATCCACAAGAACCTGAAGTCCATCTCAGCAGGGCTGCTCTCAATGAATTCTTCTCCCAGCCTGTACTCATGTCTGGGACTGCTCCAACCCACGTGCAGCAGCTTGCACTCGGACTTGTTGAACTTCACAAGGTTGTCATGGGCCCACTTCTCTAGTTTGTGTTTTCTTCCTGCTCACCAAGTGATTCCTTTGAGCATCCTGAGGTGTGCGCACACCCTACTTTGGAGACCATTGAACTAGAGTACTAGCCTCAAAGACATGAGTCCTACTCCCTCATCTGAACTGAAAAGAGCCAGGATTTGGTTTCCTACAAAAACATCTTCCAAGTAGTCTAGACTTTGCTATGACAGTTAAGATGGCAGTGCTACACTCCTTTTGTTTGAATTCTTCTATCTCACCACTAGCAGGAACATGAATTGTCATTTCTGCTATCGTGAGTCTTGATCATTTGCAAGACAACTCACTAGAATTCAGTATATAGTAATGACGTCTATATTCAGCAAAACTGCTGTTGCCCAGCAGAATGCTTAAAAAGTTATCTTTTAATATTTCTAGGTTACTCTCAAATTAATCTTATTACTCAGTCACCTTTCATACATACTCAAATAATTCTCATACATAGATAAAGTCTTAAAGTTGCATACAAGAATGCTTATTCAATCTTATTTAAGCTCCGACATAATTCCTTAATACCAATTTCTAAGTCCCAAATAGAAAGTCCTCAAAAGCATTCTAGTCGTTCTTTACTGAATACCTATCTCTGCTTGCCTGATTTCCCAGATGCACCATTCAAGTCACTAACACATGTGCAGAGTGCCTTTTTCAGAAATATATATTTTCTTTTCCGTAATGAGCCATTGCTAACCAGGTTTAGCACATGGGAACCCGGACTCTGCCCATGCTGTGGGAAGCCTGAAAAATCAGTTGCAGTCAACAATACAAATAATTCAGTCTGCTGTGATGGTAGGTTGTACACCGTTTGTATAATGGCTAGCTCTTAGAGAACTCACATAATGGTTAGAAAACAGAGCAGCCTGAGCTCATCCCAGGAGATCTGGGATTAAGCATATGGCTTTCAGTTATTGTGAGGGGCAAGATATGCCACCTGCCTTCAAAACTGACCTGCCAAACCAAGAAAATAATCAGGTGGGCCAGGCTAGGCCTGGACCCCTAATGACCAGACAAGTCAGGGAACAGAGACATTTAAAGCTCTGCTTTTGGTCTGGAGCCATGACTCAAAAGTTTCTTTTTTAATAAAAGGTGTTCTCACTGCTACAACCAGACTTATCCTTGTTGGGTCTTCATCTGGTCTTGTGATACTTTTCACTATGTAAGAGTTCGAGATGCAAAGGAAGGCATGAAAAGTTCATTTATTCATATGGGAAAAGAAAATAATGCTATTTTTAGTCAGTATATTTAAAGTCACCTAATACTTGAATATGAAAACCTACTGATAAGACCAGAACTACAGCTACCTTTTTAATACATTGTTGTGAAATCCCAGATATGATGCACAGTCATAATTTAATCATGGCAGTAATAACTTTGATACCTTTGGTAATCAATTAACATTATCTTTGGTAATCAATTAACACCATGAATTTTACATTGTGATATAAAAATCGATAATATGTCTTACTATTCCAGTTTATCAGCAAATAGTTCATTTTGTGACAGAGTCATCTTATTATACCAGTTAAAACAAAGCTCATTCCAGGGCTGTATTGTTCATAGAGGGTTCTTTCCCCTAATGGAGAGACAGGTTCCAGAGAGATCCTGGGTACATTGACTCCCGCTTAGGTATGCAAACTTGCAGAGTTTTAACTCAAAATGAAAAAAAATGGTGCTATTTAGAAATTAAATTCTGCTTCGCATATCTTCACATTGCGTGTACAACTGCCTTTTCTGAACATTTGAGTAAGTAAAGCTTCATCTATTCAAATGCCCATAGAAAGCCATTTCTGAATCCATAAAACTCACGTGTTTTAGTTTGCTTCCAAAACAACAGTCTTAAGTGGAAGTAGAAGTGGAGACTCATTATATGCTTCAAAGTGAATCAAAAACAGGAAGATAGGTTTTGGCTGACCAGTCACGGTCTGCATACCAGACTGTGTTTATGAATTGCCAAAGGAAGAAAACACTATTCTAGGCCTACACAAACTGATATTAATGCTCTTTGACCATTCTGAAATATTAAGAATTATGTTTAAAACCATTGGCATGTACAATGAATAAGCCATGATTAGGCAAACTGTGTCCTCCCAATAACAAATAATCCAGAATTCATTCTCTTGAATTGATATCTTGTCTAAAATATTATCATGCAGAAAAACCCTTGTTCAAAATACATATACATATACATATATATTCCTTTCTTCGGGGCTGGAAGCATATTTGCTTTGCAGTCTGTGAAGCTCAAAGAAATCCTCAGTGTTGAGAAAACAAAGTACCTATTGACACAATCATGTCTAGTTGATCTCTTGGAATTATGATGATGCTTGGTCTCACTGACTGCAGTAGCAGCATTTATTGAAGAACTGTTAAGAATTCTAAATGTAACACAAAAGCCTGGTTTGTCAAAAAATGAACATGGAGGGAACAGGGAAAAACAAAGAGAGCAGGCAGAAGAGGCAGACCACTACTTTAGCATTCTCCTGAGCACTCAGAAAGACAGTTAATGACCTTGCCAGTACACCTCGAGCCTAGACTTGGAACCGTCCATGACCCATGTATTGTATCTGCACAAATACTGCTGACATTTTCTTGAACTTGTTCAGGGATATATCTCCTAATATGGTCTCCTCAAATTTTCATGGTTAAATGTCTCATAATACTAAAGTCAGAATGTGTTACATGTTTTTTTCCATTTGTAATGTCACAGTCGCATAACAAACTAAAATGACATTTTTCTCATTAAAATATTTCTCCAGCAGCAAGTCACAGATCTCCAACAGTACCTGGCACTGGGATTTATTTTTTTGTAGATCCATTTGCAGAAAACTAAATATGTGGTTTATATCCACTTTTATGCTTAACATAACAGAAGCTACAACAAAAAGTTGGTATAGATTTAGTCCAAGCTTTCATATATTCCTCTGTAGATGACAGAACAAGTCCCATAGAAATGTTTTCAAATAAACATAAACATTTATTTAAAGTAGCTATTCACAGAAGAGGTACTTTTTCCCAGAAATGTTACCTGCAGTTTTTTTCTGAAAGTCACATCTTTGCTTTAAGTGGTTTCTGTAGTGTTTGCAAAGTCTTCAGACATAAAAGGCCATTAAGAATACAACTGAAACTGCATGTTGTCTCACCCTAAAGCGGTTTGTAGTGTTGCCTGCAAACAAAAGTAAAAGACCAATTATGGCTTGAACACTGCCTGTGTCACACTGATAACTGACTACCCTTCTTTGTTCTTGTATTTTTGTAACACCTCAAGCAAAGGATATGTTTCCATTTCAAGCTCCAGTCCACTCCTAACCTAACAGCTCTCATTCAGTTGGGGTTAACTTTCACCTCCGTTTGTTCCATGAGGTCAGACTCCACTGCCTACTTACTCCATTTTCTAACAACATTTTCGCCTTGTCCCATGCAAACTCATATAATTTTTACTAAGGATTGCAGATTTTATTTCTCTGCCTTCAAATCACTTGTTGAAACTATGATTTACGGCTAAGATCACTGTCAGTGATGCTAACCAACATGTCACTGTGTCTTCATACTCACACATTTTAAACAATCGTTATCCTGTCCTGTGCATAGACTGTAAACTGTAAATGTATACTGCCTGAGAAACAGGTTATGATTAGCCTTCCTATCTGCAGATAGAAAGATAATATAGGATAAAAAATAGTAATAGTAATTTTTGCGAGGAACATCAAGATGAGAGGCATTCATAAAAGAGCAGTACTTCAAAATGCACCACTGAGGCTTTTGGTCAGTATCTACCCAAAAAGAAGAATGCCATCTACAAAGCTGGTAATACAGATGAGTTATTAAAAGTATCCAGGAGTCTTTTTTTGGTAATCATTCAACTTAAGTCAGGTGAATTACAAAATACGAGGGGGGGGAGGTCAAGAAAGCAAGGCAGAAGAAACAAAATGGGTGGAGTTTATTTTTTAAAAAGAATTCTTTTTTTTATCTAACATACATCTTCATCATAAGAGTTTCAAATTTTCTGCAATGGTTATTGCACATTTATACCAAACAACTTGGAACATATAGAGCTCATTTAATACAGCCATTGTCATTTATAGTGTTTAAAAATTCATAAACTCACTGTATAAACTCACTTGCTGAGATTAGTGCTAAATATTCTTACCTAAAAACAGTGCTACACCTGCATAACAGAAAATTGGGCATGTCAGAAAAAAAGGTAAAAAATTATGTGCAAAACTACTTCTGTGCAATATTTAACTGGTTTCGACTGCACTAAAGAAAATACTGTAATTAAGTAATTATGGAGCTTATCAGAGCAATATATTTTATAACATTAGTGTACATCAGACATATGATGGTCCATAATAAGAAGCTGGATGTGCTACAATGTTTACTTCCCATGAGACCTAGTTTGCACGTATGTTATACAGATTGTTCTACAGAAATAATAGAATTGATTCCTTGTTTGGTTGTGTCTTTTTTCTAAATGGAACACTCTAAAAATCAAGCATTCTTTACAGAAAATGAAAATAATATTTGAGGGCAGCATTAGAGGAAATGATGAATAAGAAAATAATAGGGGTTTTTTCTTTTGTTTATTATGGTAGCATTTGGGAACCTCACACTTAGACCAGAAAATCATTGTGTCTGGAATTGTGCAAGAATACAAAAAGAAAAAAATGAGAAGAAAACATTGCTGATCCTATAACCCAAACTTCATCATTACTTGATTTTGATTTTATAACACATAAGTACACTGAGCTTTGTACTCCACTCAGAATGCAAAGCACACACGCACTTCGTAGTCAAGTGCAATTTTTTGCTTTATTCAAGTTCTAATAGGAAAGGCCTGCTTATGTGTACAACCACTTACAAAAGGTTTAGATAAAAACACCCCTCTTAGGTAATTCATAATATTTTTTACACAGCAAGATAAAGATGAAAGAACTTTGCTTCCTAAAATTGGTACAGAACATCAAGAAAGCATGTAGATCTGGTTCTGTTCAGATTCTGGAATCTGAACAATTTTTCATCATTAAAAGTCACAGTAATCCTGAAAATCTCTGATACGTCCAAAACGTCACGGTACATCAACACTTTTTTGGAACATGATATTACAAGAAATTCCAGACCTTTAATTTGTGATGATATAGCAAAAATATTGAAAAAATAATGGTGTGTCACCAACCATAATGTATTATTGTCTATGGACATCAAACTTGTTAAATACAACTAAATCTGGGGTATGCATGAGGGTAGAAAATTTAAGAAAAGAATGTAAACATATGAGGTAAGGTAGTCATTTTTGTAGACTGAAAAAGTCCTCCAGAAATTTCATCAGGAATGCTGTTTGCTAAAACATCTGCTAAAACGAGAGTTTTCATCTCCTTGGAGCTTTGCCCATTGTATATCTAAACAATTCCAGGAAAACAAAATTCTCTGTTTAACTATCTCAGAAAGCATGCAAAGCATGCAAAAAAGTTATTTTAATTACTGTTCAATAGACATTCAATTTTTTGAAGTTGTCTTCATGCTTGCAAATACTGCTCTCTCTTAAGTAACAAGTGTCTTCTTTTTCTTGTCTACTTAAATATTATTTTCAGTCTGGCCACAATACAGAATTGAAATCAACTTCAGTAAATAACTTACCATCAATAAAATAGCTGCTTTCTGGAATTTGGCAGAGCAAAATATTGAAACCATAATCTTCTGCAGTGGTCATAACCTGAATCAGAAAATCAACATACAGTTGTAAACATCCACCATAAACTTGTGGCATGTTTATCATTTTATTTCCACATTCGGCATACTAAACTATGCACAGTTTTTAAGTTCCTCTCTTGCAGGTAATCGGGCAAAACTATAAACCTGTACTTGTGATATTATACATTACTTTAATGATGATGTTAACAGAGTTATGAGCAGGATACTGTTTAACTCAACACACTCTTCCCACTTGCCTCCTCATTAATTAGGAGAAGAAACAGAAGTAATTGTGGTGAAGAGTATCGATGATAAAAAGAAAATGCAAGGCTACTTCAAAATCTTAGAACTTGCAATAGTCCAATGTCATTGCTTCTCAGATACTGTTTTCCAAAAGCAGGATTTGTGATGCAAGATGCTGCAGTACTGTCTCCTTAAGACTTACGAGATTTGTAATTATTTTTCTGGTCAACTCAACCAGTCAGGTAGTCAGGTCTGCAAAAAGCAAATCCTTCTTTCTTTCTGCTTGTCTCCCTTGTCACTTTATCTTGGCACACTTCCCTTTCCCTTTCTAGCCAGCAAGTATTTGCATAATGTTCTATTGCAAATGACAATAAGGATTGTTTTAAACTTTTCCAAAGGTATTTCTCATTTTTCTTTTGCTGGACAGACAAATTAATTTGCAATTGAAGCAAGATGAGAGAATAGCTGAAAAAGAAATCCAGTGCTAATAGTGCGATTAGCTCTGATACACAATATTTAAGACAAGCATATTTCTTTCTTCGTACTCTGTGGGACCAATTGGACATAAAAAAGGTAGATTAAAATACCAGTACGGTTGCTCTGATCAAGACTTTTCCTTTGAAGACGGTAATGGCACTCACTGATATGTTCCCAATAACAGCTGGGATGGCTCCAAAGGAATCAGCAAACGAGTCGTGACACACTACTGGCTTCATTCCACTAAAAAATAGGAGCTTCTGTCATGCACCTTCCTGTCTAGTATGAAACCCAAGTGAAGCTGGGGTAGCAGTGCTTCTTATCAGGAGTTGTGAAGCCTTTGAATGAGTGTCAGAAATCAGACCATGTAGCCCTCACTAGTACTTATTTTATTTTGTTCTGTTAAAGATATGCTACTCAATCCATCCTTTCATGCACAATCACACACATCTCAGGGTTACCAGAAAAGGCCACTTTTGCCTTAAAAATGTGCTATGGTGTGTTCTGAGTTCCATGCTGAGTTCTTCAGGATTAGTTGAGAATGTCTCCACTGTCTATCGACTGTACTCCCTTAGGTGCCATGGCAGGGAGAGAAGGCAGATGCAGGCACAACAGAAGCCTCTTCTCACCCAGAAAGCCATCTCCTTTGGCTCCCCCTTTGCACATCGATGGGGAGAGGATAAATGGCTGGATCACTTTTAGTTCCATACTTCAGACAAAATTATTCAGGCAATGAGGTTGAAAGAAAGCCTTGTCTACACTGTTGTGTAGACAACAGTGGATAAGTTAACCTTTTGGATGAATCAAAGCCCTGTTTTCTCCATATGCTGCTCAGTGAATGCAAGCTGAATGCAACCTGAACACTCCATGAATATATCAGTTAGTTAACTGATGTTACACTTCAAATATATTCCTCAACTTATCTTTCTATATAAAATAATTTTTTGACTAATTTCTTAAAACACTTGTGGAAGTATTTCATCCTTTTTTGAATTACTTCTCATCACTGATTTAAATCTCTTGTAGTTGCTTCCAAAAAAAACTCTGTGGAGTTTTAAATATTGAAAAGATATTTTTAATTCAGAATTACCACTGTCTAACTTTTCTTGCCCCTTTTCCTGTAAAACCCTTTTACTATCATGTATTGAATATCTGTTGTGACCATTTACACAAAAAGTGCATTAGCTATTACTTCTATTTGCCCTTCATTTCCCTGCACTACATGAATTTACAAGGAAAGATCTGTTAGGGCACAGACAAAGGCACGCATCTGGCATATCTATTTCTCTTTGGCTCCTGTTAGGAGTGGAGAGCCAGAAACTCAGAGATAAGCATTGGATGTATGAAATATTGTTTTTGAAAGCAGAAAATTAAAAACGTCATCTGGAGTTGTGAAGCCTTTGAATGGGTGTCAGATATCAGACCATGCAGCCCTCACTAGTACTTATTTTATTTTGTTCTGTTAAAGATATGCTATTCAATCTATCCTTTAATCCACAATCACACACACAAAAAACCCCCATATTCTCATCCAATGATGGAGTAAATCCTATGGCTAAAAACCCCAATATACAGCTATGAGCAAGTGATAAAGCTACCTGCCAGCTCAGCTGTAAAGGCATGCAGGAAGCATTTTTTTTTTCTCCCTTAGGAACAATGTGAATAGGGCTGTGATTGCTACCTGTGGTGTTCTATCACATAAAGCAAAATGTCCATGTTGTGTTGCAACATTTCATCAGTGTCTTATCACTCTTTAGTGGATATGTAATGGCAGTTTAAAACTGCATGGCAACTTTCCTTTGAAATATGATGATGTCAGAAAGCCTGACACCATGTTAGTTCCCTGCATCCTTATAAACCTAAGGCCCAGTCCTGCAGAAGTTTCTGCAGAAGTTTCATATGAAAAATTTCTAATGCAAAGCAAGGATTTTGTAAAAAAATGCTGATTCAATGAAATAAAAATATTTTTATAATCATTTTGGTTTCAGAAATTCACAGAAAAAACATGTGCATTTGAGAAGAAAAATACCTGTCTCTGATATCTATTCTCTTCCTAGCTAATCTGGAAGGCAACTTGGACCTTGAGTCATAAGTTTCATGATTTTAAAAAGTCAGTAATATGTTTATGAAAACTGGAAATTCGACTGTTTCTAATTCTGGAACTGCAGAAGACCTCATTGTGTATTCAGGTTTGGGTACTGTGTCCAGTTCTGGGCCTCTCAGTTCAGGAAGGATGTTGAGGTGCTCGAAGGTGTCCAAAGAAGAGCAATGAGGCTGGTGAAGTGTCTGAAGCACAAGTCCTGTGAGGAGTGGCTGAGGGAGCTGGGGTTGTTTAGCCTGGAGAAGAGGAGGTTCAGGGCAGACCTTATCACTCTCTACAACTACCTGAAAGGATGGTGTAGCCAGGTGGGGGTCAGTCTCTTCTCCCAGGCAATCAGCAACAGGATAAGAGGGCATAGTCTTAAGCTGTGTCAGGGAAGGTTTAGGTTGGACATTAGGAAAAAGTTCTTCACAGAAAGAGTGATTGGGCATTGGAATGGGCTCCCTAGGGAGGTGGTGGAGTCACCAACACTGGAGGTGTTTAAGAATAGAATGAATGTGGCACTTAGTGCCATGGTCTAGTTGACCATGGTCATAGGTTGGACTCAATGACCTCAGAGGTCTTTTCCAATCTGGTTGATTCTGGGATTCTGTGACCTGTGTGTTTCTAAGTGATGTAGCAGGTAGCTGACCATTTTCCCTTGGAATAAGGGGGCTTCATTCTGCTCCCCATCCCTGTCTTCCCACTTAGGGGACTGGTACCCAGAGAACAACTGTCCTTACTATTGAAGACTGAGGCAAAGAAGACGTGAAGTATCTCATCCTTTTCCTCATACTATGTCACTATGTTTCACCTCGCATGCAGTAAAGGATAGAAATTCTCCTTAATCCCCTTTTGTTGCCCTCTATACTCTTTGAGGGATATGGTTATCAGTCATGATTGTGCACAGACAAAGACTTTACAGGCTGGAACCCATATAAATATAAATAATAAACTGAATTCCATGCAGCACAATTACATATAAAAGTGTACATAGGCTCTAAGGAGAGTAAAACTCATCATTCAACAAGGTATCACATGATGGATACAGATAAACAATTCTTACACTGGGAACAACATGGCTAACTATCCCTTCACTTGGACCCACTGGACAAAAAACAGAAGCATAAACAACAAGCCTGAAATTATTTGGACTCAGCAGGTGAACAAGGTAGACAAACTGGTATATTATATCCAGTCCTTCAAAAAGGCTAACTTTACAAAGCTCAGGAAAATCTGAACATAGATAGAGCTGCTTAAGAGGATTCCAAAGAAAGGTCTCACCAGCATAGTGTACAATGGCAATAATAATCACCTTTTGCTACTGGAAATATACATCCTTGTGTTAAGTTCTCTTTTCACAGACCTGCCCTATTGTCACACCCTGGCTGACCCAGATCATTATCCTTTGCTGTCATTTCCAACCGATAAGTCCCCAGCTTCTGGAAGAAATTCTTGTTATTAGTCCCTAAATGCATGACCTGACACTTTTCATTATTAAATGTAATCCTATTCTATTACAGGAGTCCTTTAGGTCATCCAATTTCTTCTTTGTATTGATACTACTTCCCAAATTTTGTCATCAGCAAATTTCATTACCACATTTCCACCATTTCTGCCAAGGTCATTAATTAAACTATTAAATGAGATCAACCTCCAAAAAGAATCCTTGATGAAATCTACAGACAATCTTTTTTCATCACAATTCTTCTTTCAACCAATGCATTGGCATATGTTTTCAGCCAGTTGTCCTATATTTCTATCCATTTTTTGCTATTCTTCATTTTGACTAGTATCTTCCCAAATAGTAATGTACTGAACGCTCAAATGAAGATCAGATAGACTGGATTTTCAAATCATCTAAGACTGCTAAAGAGGTTAACATTGACATTTCTCATAGTTAGGAGTCTTAAAATGGTTAGTTGGCAAAGCTAATATGATTCATGTTCATATTACAAACACTATTTCAGAAGAATAGATATGTGATCATCTCAGGAAACATCTTTAAAGCAACAAATGTTTTCAACACCTAAATGACTAGGCTGTCATCATAACCAAGGAAAATTGTGGAGAAACCCAAACACTTAAGATAGGAATATAATTAATGTCAAGAATTCTGATGTTAGGGAAAACAGGCCTCATCAAACAAAAGTGATTTCATTTTTTCATAAGACTGGTGAATAGAAATATATACACTTAATACATAAACTTGAAAAGGATTT